AGGCTCTTAAAAAATTTAGTTACATATACACATCTACAAGTAGAAGTTGTTTTTACCATAAAAGCAATCTCCATAAAATACACAAAAGTTAAAAGGCAAAAGCGTACCTGTCCCCTTTTCCTTCTGCACTGTTTACTAAGTTTGCCAATTTCTTCTGTACATCATCCAGCATTGCTTGTCGGAGTTCATCTGTATTAAAATATGTGAGTAAAGATAGCCTTTAACTGATTAAAACTGTCTGGATGAAAATATAATGAGATTTATGAGATCTTTTCTATGAACTTTGAATATATGCACTTCTAATTCAGAATATTCAATTATTTCCATCTCTTCTTTGGAACAGGGAACTAGGCTCTCTGATATAGAAATTATCTAGAAGCCATAGTATACATAATTCACATGGTTTACCCCAATAAAGTAATCAATTCTTTAATAGAAAATTTAAGAACCAAAAAAGGTTTTCATCTTCTTTAGTAACTTAATAGCAAAGAAGAGATTTTCACTACTGCTTCCATGCAAGAAACATTTCCAGAGCCACTTATTTAATGGTAGGAAATGGAAAAGACAATTTTAGATTTTCCTTTTTCTATTCTCCTGGCTTGGACTCAGTTTTTGGTGAGCTAAGAGGAATGTCTAACACAACTAAGACCATGGTTCAGGATGCAGCTGATAGGGAAAAGTATTCTGGAGTAAGAAAATTGCAAAATACAATTCAGATCATTGATTCTAAAATACTAATCAAGTTACTATAGCTTATGACTGAATCAGAAGGATGATTGGGCTATTTTATTTTAAAATTCTCATTTAAAATGGAAGCAAAATTTGTAAAATCTTGGTAGAATAGCTGGAATTTGAGCAGTATTAAAAACAAAGTCTGGAATTAAAACAAGATATGCCTTGTTCCCAAATTCACCCATACCTCAAGGCCAAGGATTCCTGGACTAAGGAACACTCACTGAAAGATGGAGTTTCCAACCTTATTTCAGAAATGGACAGTTTGAGCTGAAAGAGAGGCTTAGTAATTTTAAGCTAGATTACAAATTTTTATTCTGAAAGAAATAAGGAGGTGATCACTTTGTGACAGAGTTCTACTTTTCAAATCAAGAAACATTCACATCCAAACACTAGACTTTGACCTCTTTTCACAAACCTACTCTTTATTTAATGCTGCATTTTCCTAGCAGTAGCTGATGCAAGCTCCTTTATCAGATATATGGCTGAAAACACTTTTTTCCCCATTCTGTGGGCTGTCATTTCACTTTCTTGATGCTATCTTTTGAAGGACCAAAGTTTTTGATTTTGATGAAGTCCAATTTATTTTTTCCTTTGTTGCTTGTGTTTTCGATGTCATATCTAAGAAACTATTACATTAATCAACATCACAAGGATTTACTCCTATGTTTTCTTCCAAGAGGTTTACAGTTTTAACTCTAAAATTTAGTTCTACGGCCCAATTTGAGTTAATTTTTATGCATGGTGTGAGGTAGGGTTCCAACTTCATTCTTTTGCTTGTGGATGTCTGGTTGTTCCAGCACTATAACCATATCTGAAACAGAATTTTAAGGTCTAGAGCATTTGGTGAATGCTTTGTTGTCCCAAAATTATAATTATTAATTGCTGAGTGAAAAATAACCTTTAAAACTGTACTTCCTGGCAATGAACTCACAGAAAAAGAATTTAAGTAATATAGTATAACCTCAATTTGAATTCCATTAGATCATACTCTGTGATTAAAATGAAATAGGTTGAGGTCTACTGAATTATTTTTGCAGTTAATTTGAGTTACTATGTGTACTTGAAAGAGATTTTATATAAATATTTTAAATGTAACTGAATCAAATGTATTTTCATTTTCCATTCTCTTCCCTCAACCCTTTATTATGAACTCAGATAATGTGTGCTATGTTTTTCCATACTGAAACAGAAAATTTCTTAAAGAAAGTAAATATTATGAGTAAAGTTATATATTTAC